CGTCCCTGGGTGTAGACTTTGCTCAAATTAACAACAGCAGCAACTGCACGTCTTCCTCGGTGCACGCAGGGCCCAGAGGGGCTCGCTGGAGCTGCCCGACCCCCAGCCAGCACAGGCCTCCGGGCCCCTCTGACCCAAGAGGCGGGTGGGCCGGAGCGTGCCTCGGGTACCTGTGACCCGTGCTCATTTCCCTGTCGTGTTCCAATGGCTGTCCCCCGGGCCTGAAGCCAGTGTCCTGCTCTGCGGCTTCCCAGCCCCACACTGCTCCTGTGTTTTCTCCAGAACACGCGGGGCACGTGCTTGTTGTCCTACAGTGGTTCCAAGGAGTGTCCCCCAGGGAAGAAAGACTTGTATCTGCGCGAAGCCAAAGAGGCCTTCGAGACCGGCCTCCTCACCAGCGGAGACAGAGCGCCGCCTGTGGGGGTGCAGGAGCTCCACGGCCTCCTCAAGGCCGCCTTCGGTCTCTGCACAGCGCACCTGCGGCTCGGCAGGCATGTGGCCGCGGCGCGCACAGCGAGTGCGCTCTGCCGGGCGGCCCTGTGCCCGCTGCATGCTCTCAGTACCTGCGCCCCAGGACAGGACCGTGGCGCTCTGTCTCGGGCGGTCGTGTCCACCGTGGCCCAGGTGAAAGGCCTCCTGCATGTGCAGAGGACCTGGGACTGCAAGGACGGCGCCTACGTGCCGTGGGGTTTCCAGACCTGGCCAGATGAGCCCATCCTGCGTGGGCAGGCGGATTTCCAAAGCATCTTGGAGACCCACGCGCACCACCACACTTCCGTGTGTGCGGTGTACGACAGCACGTGTGGCAACAGTGCGAGTGCGCGAGCAGAAACGCACCCCGGAGTCTGTATCACTGCTCTGCGGACAGAAACCAAGCCCACAGAGACGGCGAGTGGGGCGGGCACCGCTCTGTCCTCCCAGACGGCTGCACTCGGTGGCGAGGCCCTCAGGCAAGCGGGAGGTAGACTCTGCACCCATCTGCAGGCACCAAGAGTGGAGGCCGAGGCTGAGACCGAGCCACCGGACCAAGGCAGTGGGTGGACAGCAGCTGGGGACCAGCGTGGGAGCTCCAGCTGGAGCCCCGGCCCCTGGAGCGAGTTAACAGGGCCCAGCTCCTCCACAAACTGGGAAGAGGTGGCCTACCACATGGACCGAGGGCCAGCCAGCAAAGAGGTGGGCCAGGGGGCGCGTCCCGTGGACACTCAGTGCTCCACTGCATGGTCTGAGGAGCTGGAGAGCGAGAGGCAAGGCAGAGCCGGGCACCCAGAGACTTCAGAGCCTCGGGGCCTCTCCCTGCAGGCGCCTGGGGTGGGCAGTGTCTCGTCTTCTCACAGCCACCCACGCGAGCTCAGGCCCTGCGAGACCTCCCTTTCCTGCGATACGCCGGGCGTGTTCCTGGCCTCAGGTGCAAGGCTGCTGGAAGGAGCCCCAGAAGGTGCCCAGGGAGGGGGCCATGCAGGCCCCTGCTCCTCCCGGGCATTTGCTGCGAGCAGGCTGGAGAACATGGCCACGCTGCCGGCTGCCTATGGGGCCTCTGCAGGAAGCATGCTCCCCGAGGCCAAGCACGGTGCCCCAGATGCACGTGGGGAGGAGAGGGAGGACGCCGTGGGTGGGCGAGGCGCAGCCCCCACGTCCGGAGGTGACCCTTGGTGGGCCCACCTGGAGAGCACAGGGGTGGGCCCCTTCCTGGGCGTTTCTCCTGCCCGGAAGGCGCAGGTCTCTGACTGCAGAGGGCAGGAGCCCACCGTCGACCCCGATGCCTCCACAGTGGAGGGGGCGCAGCTGCCGGCCAGCCCTGACGCCCACCCTGTGGGCAGGCTGGGCCCCTGTGCAGATGGGAGCGTGCCCGGCAGCAGCACCATGGAGCAGGCAAGCTGCCAGGAGTCGCCCACTCGGTCCAGCGGCTCTGGCAACAGAGGGGAGCCTTGGTCTTTGCTCGGCTCCTGCCGGAGTTCTTGGGTCTCCCTGCCAGGGAGGCAGGAGTTGCTCAGGGCTCGCACTCTGCAGCCGGACGACCTGGAGGGCCTCTTGGCGGGAGTGAGGCATGACTGGCTGCTTCGGAGGCTGCGGGACACCGGAGTTTTTCCACACTGCCAGCGTCACTGCGCACACGGTAAGGATGGACTCCTGGCCCACCCGCCCCAGCCTTGCCCGGGAGAGCTTGGTTTGCAGATCCCAGAAGCTCGGCCAGAGGCAGAGTCCTGGTGGGCTTGGAGCTGCAGAGAGCTGCTCCAGGAACGACCTTGGGCTGGCCAGCCTCCAGAGCAGGCTTGGTGCAGGTGGCCAAGCCGGGCCCAGAGGGTTCCGGGTTTGAACCCGCTCTGGGTGCCGTGTCTCCCGCCCAGCGCGTCCTCGCCCTGGGTTCACTGTTCCAGCCCCTGACTCCGCTTCCGCACTCGATCTGGAGACCGGTGCCCTTCCAGAGCCAGACTGCCTCCCCCCTGTCCACTGAAGTGCTTCCAGCTGTCCAGTGGCCTGCCGGGGCTGTCCAGGTTTCCATAGCAACATAGTGTGGCGGCCGGAAGTCTAGGGTCAGGAGCCAGCAGACCCAGTGTTTGAGCCGAGTTTCTGCTGCATAGACTGAGGTTCCATGTCCAAGGGGTGGGGCGGGGTCCTGGGTAAGGGCGCCAGTCCTAGGCATGGCCTGCACTCCAGGGGCCTCACCTCCTCACACTGACCCTGCGCTGTGGGCCTCGCAGCTGGACTTGCTGTAGCTCCATGCCAGATGTGCCAGGCTGCTGGGGCTCAGATCAGGAGAGGCCAGCCTATCCCATAGGTCCCAGAGGTCTCTGGGTTTTGCTGTTTAAAAAGCCTGTTTTCACCCTTTTATGCAAAAACTCTGCTCTCTCCTTAATCCTTTCTGGTCCCGACCAACGGGCTGACTCAAAGGCTACTCGGTGCTGGGGTCTGGGCAGTGCCTCCTCTCAGTGAACCCCACTCACTGTCTGCAGCTGTCATGGGAGAGGCTAAGTGCCGAGAATCCCGTCGGGGTTCGAGGCTGCCCTGAGCTGGCCTCCGGCCTGCATCACTGCCACTGTACTCACGCGTGTAGACCCCATTTGAAAGTAAGACCCACTTGTCCTCTTTTGTCCAGATGCTCTTTTGCTAAAATATTCCAAAGCATCTGAACTGTGGACAGCCCAGGAAACCGCCGTGTACCTGGGAGACGACCTGGCTGTGAGGAAGAAGGGCAGGCAGAGGACCGCCTTCTGGGTGCGCTATCTCCACCAGCAGGAGCCCCTGGGAAGGTACGCCGGGCGGTTCTGCTGTTCTCTTAGCCGCTGGCCACATGCTGACGACTGCGTGGTGGCGGCCGTGTTGCTGGCTGGTCTGCACGCGTGACCTCAGAGTCTTCTGGAAGCACGCTACACCCCTCTGTAAGGGAGGAAGGAATCCCCTGCTGCACAGCCAGCCGGAGAGCTGCCAGCCTCCGAGGAGGCCAGTCACAGCGAGGCAGACTCTCGGCTGCCAGACCAGGGAACTGGGGCCCAGGCAGGCAGGTCCTGAGGCCAGAGGAGGACGCCCAGGGCGTGAGTGACCACTATGCCCTCCAGGTACCCTGAGAGCCGCATGGGTGGACAGCTGGAGGGACAGTTGGAGGGACGGGAGGGGGCAGGTCTGGATGCCTCTCGTGGCAGACTCCAGAGTGGCTGCACCCTCCAGAGAACGGCTATTTAAAATATCACCCTGGGGCTGGCGGGTGGCGTGCTGGATAAGACACTGGGCTCCCACGTGGCTCACCTTGGTTCAAGTCCGGGACCTGGAGGACTGCTTTCCCTCTCCCTCTTTCTGTCCCTCTCTGGTAAAAAATTTTTTAAATAATAATGATTAATACAATTTTTTAAAAAAAGTCTCACCCCACAGAGACAATGTTAGAGGATTTTCTATTTGGCCATAGTTCTAGATGAAAACTTCAATAAAACCCATCTGAAAAACGAATGTTACAGGTGGTTCCTACTGGGTTTGAGACCTAATTTTACACCATTTTTATCTAAATAGATGCATAAGCCAAGACTGTTACCGTTGCACCTATTTTTTTTTTAACCCAAACAATGTAAGGAATAAATTTTAGAGAGAGAGAGAAAAAGGAGAGCAAGAATTTGGGTGACTTTAAATGGTTCAAGGACGTCTCCTGCCAAGGCTCTTGGCTGTGAAGACAGTGAACGTGTGACGCCTGACTCTGGGCCAGCCGGTGGTGTAGTGGTCAAGGGTCCTGGACCTGGCGGCTTGAAACTCACTCCAGGCATGTGTGCATGGATGCCAAAAATCCCGAGAGGAGAAGTGATTGCAGTGTGGCCATTCCCCCGGGGGTGATTTCTCACTTTCTGTCTCTGTGACAAGGGTATGTGCCCTACAGAAAAAAAAAAAAAACACTCTAAAAAAAAGGCCTCTCTAGAAAAAGCCTGTTGTGACTATGGACCGGTTCAGTTTGTCTTCACAGACACCCTGAGGCAGATGCCTGTGTGGTCCCCAGTCCATTCCCCCGGGGGTGATTTCTCCCTTTCTGTCTCTGTGACAAGGGTATGTGCCCTACAGAAAAAAAAAAAAAACACTCTAAAAAAAAGGCCTCTCTAGAAAAAGCCTGTTGTGACTATGGACCGGTTCAGTTTGTCTTCACAGACACCCTGAGGCAGATGCCTGTGTGGTCCCCAGTCACAGGCGGGAGCGCGAGGCCTGGGGTGCTAAGCGTGCCCGAAGCCCACTTCCACCCGCCCCGCGCCATCCCACGCCCAGCGTGTCCCCGTCTCCCGCCGCAGATCAGGTGGGTGTTCTGCTCCTGGAGAAGGGTCACCGCCCGTTGTTGGTTCCCGTCCCAGGTACGTGGGCAAGGAGTACAAGGAGCCCAAGGGGCTGTGGCAGCACCTGGCCGACGTGGAGCGGCAGCTGACCGCGCAGTACTACGTGGACGAGTTCAACAGGCGGCTCCAGGCGCACAGGATGCCCACGCAGATGTTCTACCTCCCGGCCGCGGCACTGCTGGTAGGCTCCTGCAGCCTGGGCCTGGCACCCGGGCAGGACCTGCGTGCTGCGGGCTCCGCCCCCTTCACCTGCTCGGGCGTGTGGAGTGTGGAGGACGGCCCAGGGGCACTCTGCTCTCCCAGCGTACCCCGGGATCTGGCCCACGTGGTCTATGAGCATTCTCCGTGCTCTGGCACTGTCTCTGCGGCCCAGCCTCACAGGTTGTCGCTAGCACAGCAGCCGGCCGCTTCAGCGAATGCCAGCCCGCCCTACCACGGCGCCCCCACCCCTACCCTCCACCCGCAGCAAAGGGAGTGGGCCACAGCACCGACACCTTGGTGAGAAAGGCCGCCATGACTCGTTTCAAACGATTCTCAGTGTAAGGATGTCCTTGGGTTTGGCCAGAGCTGTCCTCCTCACCGTCCACGGTCTGCAGCTCTGCCCTGGGGCCATGGAGACCAACCAGCTTCCTTACCACAGCCCTCTGTGGGCTGGCGGGTGCTGTGGTGGTTACGGTCTGGACTCCCACATGGCTCGCGTCCTGGACCTGGCAGCTTGCTTTCTCACTCTGTCTCTGGAGAGCACACGTGCCCAATAACAAATTAAAAAATAAGTGTAACCAGCGGAATTAAACAAGTAAATACCTTAACGTGCATGCACAGGCAGCCCTTGGGTACCTACGGGCCACTGTCCTGGCCGAGATTACTTGTCCTTGGGTCAGGAATCCCGTGCTCCGTCGAACACCCCAGCTCCACGGTGTGCGTGCCTAAGGTGGCTTTCGTGTTAGCCTGAGACATTTTCGGGCCCATCCCTGGGACGCGCGGCAGTGGGGCCACCACCTTCCGCACGTTCCCCGTCACGCAGTGCTGTAGATGGCATTGCATGGGAGTGTTTGAGCTGACCCCTGCTGCTGACCTTGCGTGGTCTGCCCACACGGCCAGCAGACACCCAGGGATGGCCACTCTGTGGCCTGGCTTCTCAGTGGCTCTCCTGCAGGATTAGCATAGCAGCCTCGGTTCTCCTAGGGGCCACAGACTTGAGCACTGACGAGCGTTTTCTCGTAGAACTCCTTTAACAAACACAACAGGTGTTTACACGCCCATGTACAGACGAGGCCACCGCAGTCCAGGGAAGGGGAGTAAGCAGCCCCCAGCCAGGGAGTTGGGCACGCAGGCCCCCGGGCAGCTCCCCCAGGGCCTCTGCCGTAGCCGAGCTGCCTCCTTGTCTGCTCCTCAGATCTTAGAGGACAGCGTGATCAAGGGGTGCATGAGTGTGGAGCCTTACATCCCGGGAGAATTCGTGAAACTGTCGAACAACACGACGGTGGTGAATACCCAGCACAGAGCCACAGAGTACGGCCTGGCCTACGGCCATTTTTCTTACGAGTTTTCTCATCACAGAGACATTGTGGTCGATTTGCAAGGTATGTGAAACTGGGAATTGGGGGATTAGATGTCACTCTTTTTTTGGGGAGGGGAGGGTTTGCTATAGGGCGTGTGTGCTCGCCAGACAGACAGAGAAAGACGAAGAGACAGAAAGCGAGAAATCATGCCCCCAGGGGGGATGGCCACGCCGCAATCCCTTCTCTTCCATTCTCCTCTTGGGATCTCGGGCACGCACGCACACGCGCCCGGCGTGAGTTTTAAGCCACCGGGTCAGGACGTGAACTGCAGTCGACTATGTGGGAGTCCAGCGACATAGCCATTACGCTAACTGCTGGTCCCTAGATGTCACTTTTATGCAAATGTAAGGTTTTGTAACTATTAATAGTTTCACTGACCACTGCTTAATTGTTCGTATCTTAGTTACTGTTTCAAATTAAATTCATTGATTGCACTATATGGAGCAAATAATTTCTGAAAGAAAAACCGTCTAAGACTTCTACAGCATCTGCAGTACCCTGTAGTCAGCAAGAAGGGGGCAGGGCCAAAGGCGGGGAGGGCGGGGAGCAGGGCCCTGGTCCAGGAGGGCAGGGGCAGGGCCACCTCACGCTGTGCTGTGCTCGGCTTAGTCTAGCACGTCCCCAAGAGCTCTGCTGTCACCGAGGGCGTCTGAGCCGTGTGCACCCCTTGCTATTGCGTTTTTCCAAGTGTCAGAATCTTCCCACTCTTCGATGTCTCCGGCCTGTCCCCTCTGTGTGTCGGGGTCTCACTGTCGGGGTGTCCCCCCTCTGTGTGTCAGGGTCTCACTGTCGGGGTGTCCCCCTCTGTGTGTCGGGGTCTCACTGTCGGGGTGTCCCCCTCTGTGTGTTGGGGTCTCACTGTCAGGGTGTCTGGGACAGGGAGTCACTTGTGCTTGACTCGGACTTCTTTGAAAATCTGCACGAATATTTTAATTTTGTCTCAGATCAGTATTTTTGTCATCATAATTCTAATTGACAAATGCTACGATTCAGGTAAGTAGCAAATGAGATTTATTATAATCATTTCTAGTAATGATTCCATGTGTCCCAAACCACCCCGCCCCCTCCGTAGAGTTTTCAGGCTCTGTCATGTGTGCGCGTGTGTGCATGCACATGTGTACATGTGTGTGGTGTGCACAGCTCATTAACCAGCCCCTGACCCCAGGGTGCTGGTTCCCAGAGGTGCAGAGGTCGTTGGCTGGCACCTCATTGCTGCCCCACTCGGTGTCTGTAAGCCCTGCCGCAGGGACTCGTGAACACGGGAACCGCAGAGTGAGGCAGTAAAGAAACTCAGTCATGACAGAGACAGCCGCTGTTGCGATCTGAAAAATCGTCCTAAGAGCCTTTTTATTCATCTCGAATCCCTTGAAAACTGGTGGCCTGGGCACCGTGTCTGACAAATACGAGCAACATTCGCGCCTTACATCAGTCCTTGGATAAGCGGCGGAAGCCCCTCAGCAGGA